CGCATCTCTTGAAACACAAAATCTCTTTGGATTATGTTTGAAATCTCGAGAGTGAAAAAAAAATCCAATTAGGGGGTTACACCTTGCAACCAGTCGCCTAGAACCATCCGCGTGTTTCATGACGTGGTGGCTATGTATATTGAGACCACGACATCTATGAAGATCTGAAAAGGTTCATTGGGGCCCACTTCACGTGCATCTCATGAAACACCGAATATCTTTAGATTATGTTTGAAATCTCATGAGTGAAAAAAAATCCAATTAGGGAGTTACACCTTGCAACCGGCCGCCTAGAATCATGTGCGTGTTTCATGGCACGATGGCTGTGAATATTGAAGATCACGACATCTATGAAGATCGGAAAAAGGTTCACTGGGGGCCGCTCCATGCGCATCTCATGAAACATCGAATCTCTTTAGATTATGTTTGAAATCTCGCGAGTGTTTTTTTTTCAATTAGGGGGTCACACCTTGCAACCGGTCGCCTAGAACCACCTGCATGTTTCATGACGCGGTGGCTATGGATATTGAAACCACGACATCTATGAAGATCGGAAAAGGTTCATCGGGGCCCACTTCACGTGCATCTCATGAAACACTGAATCTCTTCATTTTATGTTTGATATTATGGAAGAAGAAAAGACGATTAGCCTTTACACATTGGCGAGGAACAACCTCCCCTCCCCTCATGCTCCACATGTTCACATGATGACACAAGATGGTCATGTTTCTCTCTCGAGCTTGACTAGACTTCCCCATTCTTCATGTTTCTATTTTCTTCTTTTCCGCAAGCTTTGGAAAACATACAAGGAAGCGACTAAAGGGATCCCTGAAGTGGCTTGGTATCATGCTTTGATGGAGGCACAATGGAAAAAAGGTTAATGTCACGATAGTGGCACCATCCCAACACCGTTAGTGTTGACCACTGCCACCTACGACAATAACTTACATGAGCCACCACTTAGTGCTCTTTCTTTTGTGGTCAGAGGCAACAAGAATCACGATAGTAGACATAGTAGAGAGTAATGTAGATAAGAGAGAGGTGTGAGGTCACTAGATGCTACGATGGCGTCAGTGGAGGAACAAAAGAGGATCAAAGGACGGGGCTAGGTCCGGCAACAAAGGATACATGGTATGACACATGGCAGATGTCAAATGTTTTGTGTATCAGAATATCCATTGTTTCATTGCGTAGAAGCCACTCCCCACGTATGCACTTGAATTATTATTTTAAACTTCTTTTGTAAAAAAGGTAAAATCAATGTTAAAAAAGTAACTTCACTAAATGAGTCTAACCCCCTCGCCTCCTACGATTCGCTCCTTCTCTTTCTCCACCTAATTACCATGTATCTTCTCCTGGGTTTTCCAACACTAAACTCCTCGCACCTACATCTTCTCTCTCGCCTTCACCTCCACAACATTAGTTGGCCTTTGAGTTGTTACTCTGGCCATATCGAGCCAACGTGTCCTAGACTCCATTTTCGTGATGATGAACCCATCATCTGCTTGGGCTCACTGTTGTCGTGGACAAGCATGATTAGTTGGTTACCATGCTTTTATCTCATTTTTATTGAGAAATGTTGATTTTGGCTAGCTGCATGAGCTAAAGGTCTGTCGTCAAAGCTCGGGTGTCTCGCACCTCCTTTTAGTCAGATGCAATCTTTTGTTTTCAAATAAAGTGCCAAGTAAACTAACAAGACTAAGACGATAGTCAACAAATATGATAAAGCTATTTCTTAGCTTCTTAGCCCCTCAAAATGCTCTTTCAGATTCGGTCACAAGTGCTTAGATATTGACACACAACATATAGCTAATATTATGAGCATGGCCTGTCTTAGGTTTCGAGGAGAAATACTTGGGCCTCGCAGTCTCGGAAGTCGCATGAAGAACGTAATTTCCAATAAATTAAGGATAGAATGAGGAAGAGACTAATCGACTAGTTAGAGA